ACACTCACTTACAAAACATACACTTTCACTGACAAACACACACTCACTAACAGACATCAGACACACTCAGTAACAGACACACCCAATAACAGACACACCCAATAACAGACACACCTACACTAACACTTTCCCCTAAGTGCTTCCTCTTCCGCTCCCTCGCGCGCCGCCTAGGGATTCCGGAGCCGGAAGATGACGTCATCTTCCGGCTCCGGTATCAGTGCGGTGCGCGAGGGAGCTGAAGATGAAGGTGGCCGGCTCCCTGTGGGTACATGCCGGGTTGCAGGGGCGGCCGGCCCCCTGGTGGGCCGGGCCCGGTCGCAGCTGCGACCCCTGCGACTCTGGTATGTACGCCACTGATCACTGCAGCTACACAAATTGCCATTTTCACTGCAGCTACACAGTCACATATGCAGCAAACTGCTATATACTGTGTGTTCTGACACCTTTCTATCATACATTTTTTTTTTACTAATTTGAGATACAGTAGCTCTTCTATATGATTGGACAAGATGGGCTAACCTTTGCTCCCCATATGCATCAATGAGCTTTGGGCACCCATGAAATTTTCCTGCTTCCAATGCAATATATATCAACCCTTGACAGGTACAACAATATAATCAATGTTGTTCACTTCACCTGTCAGTAGTTTTAATGTTATGGCTGATCAGTGTATACACACATAATGACATACAAAATCATAGACATACACATAAACACATACATACACATATAAACACAGGCATACACACACAATCAGAGGCACATTCATACACAAACATGATATTTTATTTATTATGATGCCCATCTAGCCTCTCTCTGGGAGGGCTGGAGTGGATCTTTCCTCTGGTGGCCAGTGATTACTGTGTGTATTCTCCCTGTAGTGATGCCAATGCTAGGATTTAAAAATTGCACAAACCAGACAGATTTTGTTAATCAAGTCCAGATTCTTAATAAAAGATTTCTGGACAGGAATTATCCTAAAGAGTTACTTGAAAGAAGTCAAAAAGAGGTTGAAAATAGAAAAAGGGAAGAATTTCTACAAGTAAAACAGAGAATAGCTAACTGGAATACATTTGATATGGCATTCATTACGAAGTACGATAGTAAAGCAAATAAAATGGACAAAGTCCTTAGAAAGCATTGGCCGATTCTATTGCAGGACACCTATCTGCATAAAATATTACCTAAGAAGCCGAAAGTTGTATATAAGAAGCAGGGCCGGCGCGTCCATAAGGCGGCACAGGCGGCCGCCTTAGGGCGCACGGGCTCTGGGGGCGCAATATTTCAGTGACCGGCAGGAGGGAAGCTCTCCCTCCTGCCAGGCCACCATCTCGACCCCCGGCGCAGCTCGCGGCAGTGCTGTGATCAGGCGCGCGAGTGAGCTCTAATCTCCACCCTCTGCTCCCTCGCGCGCTGCCTACTGATGCCGCGGGAGCCGGAATATGACGTCATCAGGCAGCCCGCGAGGGAGCAGAGGATGGAGATTAGAGCTCCCTCGCGCGCCTGATCACAGCACTGCCGCGCGCCTGATCACAGCACTGCCGCGCGCCTCTCAGCAGCCCCAGCCCTCAGGGACCGATCCAGCATCCACACCAGCTCTCCAGGTAGGGAGGCTGGGTGGAAAATGTTTATTTATAAAATTATTAGTGAATGTATGTGATGTGTGTGTGTGTCTGTGTGTGTGTGTCTGTGAGTGACAGTGTGTTTGTCTGTGTGTGTGTCTGTGAGTGACAGTGTGTGTGTCTGTGTGTGTGTGTCTGTGAGTGACAGTGTGTGTGTCTGTGTGTGTGTCTGTGAGTGACAGTCTGTGTGTGTGTCTGTGAGTGAGTGTGTGTGTCTGTGAGTGACAGTGTGTGTCTGTGTGTGTGTGTCTGTGAGTGACAGTGTGTGTGTCTGTGAGTGACAGTGTGTGTGTCTGTGTCTGTGTGTGTGTCTGTGAGTGACAGTGTGTGTGTCTGTGTGTGTGTGTCTGTGAGTGACAGTGTGTTTGTCTGTGTGTGTGTCTGTGAGTGACAGTGTGTGTGTGTCTGTGAGTGACTGAGCGTGTGTCTGTGAGTGGCAGTGTGTGTCTGTGAGTGACTGAGCGTGTGTCTGTGTGTGTCTGTGAGTGACAGTGTGTGTGTCCATGAATGACTGTGTGTGTCTGTGAGTGACAGCGTGTGTGTCTGTGAGTGACAGTGTGTGATTGTATGAGTGTGTGTGCATGTGTGTGTCTGAGTGACTGAGCGTGTGTCTGTGAGTGACAGTGTATGTGTGAGTGATTGTATGAGTGTGTGTGTCTAAGTGACTGAGCGTGTGTCTGTGAGTGACTGTGTGTGTCTGTGAGTGACAGCATGTGTGTCTGAGTGAGTGTGTGTGTGTGAGTGAGTGATTGTATGAGTGTGTGTGTCTGAGTGACTGAGCGTGTGTCTGTGAGTGACAGTGTGTGTGTGTGCTTCGGTGTGTGTCTGTGAGTGACTGTGTGTGTTTGTGAGTGAGTGACTGTCTGTGTGTCTGTGAGTGATTGTATGAGTGTGCATGTGAGTGTATGAGTGTGTCTGTCAGTGTATGATGAGTGTGTTTGTCAGTGTATGAGTGTGTGTCTGTCAAATCAGTGAGAGTATGTTTGTCATTGAGTCTGTGTGTGACTATCAGTGTGTCTGTCAATGAGTGTCAATCAGTGTGGGTCTGTCAGTGTCAATGAATGAGTGTGTGTTAGATCAATGAGTCTGTGTCTGTCAGTGACGTCTGTGTGTTTGTCATTGAGTGTGTGACTGTCAGTGTGTACAGAGTGTAGTGGAGCAGAGCGCGGTACAGGAGCTTCTGTTTCCTGTACCTGGCCAGACTGACAGGAGGTGCTCACAGAGAGAGCACTCCCTGTCAGTCCGTCTGGGTACAGAAAACTGAAGTTCCTTTAAGGGATCTGCTCCGCTCGGCAATGCAATAATAGAGGTAGGAGGCACACACCAGGAAGTGTGACCACTAAAGGGGTGGGGGGTGCACCAAGGGACAGGGAGGGAATGGGAGAGAAACACCAAGAGACAGGGAAAAAAGGGGGGAGGGGGGAGGGGAGAAGAACACTAAGGGACAGGGAACGGAAGGGACCACTAATGGTCGGGGAGGGGAGAGGGGCTGGTTAAGAGGCACATAGGTGAAGATTTTGGGGGGGGGGCGGAAAAATGCATCTTCGCCTATGTACCTAAAAATCCAAGCACCGGCCCTGATAAGAAGACTAATAGTCTAAAAACAATCTTATCACCTAGTATTCTTCAGTAAATGGTTTCAGAAAACAAACAAGAGGCTTTTTGGGAAAGAAACCTAATGGCTTTCTTAAATGTGGAAAGTTCCAAAAAAGAACCACCACTAATTTTAAAAGTACTGTCACAGGCGAAAAGTTTATGATAAACATTTTATAACGTGTAGTATTAAGAATGTGGTATATTTGCTGGAATGTTCATGCGAAATGCAATATATAGGCCGCACTATCTGTAGATTACATGAGAGATTGACAGAAGATTGTATTTTAGATTGTGAAGATTACCACAAAAGAATTGTACACACAACATCCTTTTTTTATATAAATTTTTTTTTATATATATATATATATATTATTCAACATATTTTTTAAGTTTGATATGGTCATTTGTATTGTCTCCACATGATTTTTATTTTGTGGTAAATTCTAAGGATTTTTTTGTACTGTTAGGCATAGATTGTAATAAGTTTTCGGTCACACGTAACTGTATTAGTGTCACGTTGTGTCCAAAATCAGGTGCCTATAAAGTTCTGTGCGAACCAATCTTGCCGTGCATGCGCGGCGAATACTTCCCAATGGCTACTGGTCCATGGGGGTACCCGTAGCTGGACGGAAGTTAGTGTTGGTGTGCGCATGCGCTATGGCAGGTTTGAGCGCGAAGATTGAAAAATGGAAGATATAAAAAGAGACGATGGCGGAGGGAACATCACAGCGTCTACAGCTCCTGAGGAAGTCCCGAATAACGCGGGCCGAAACGCGTTGCGCCAGAGCCATCAAGTTTGGAAGTTTAGCAGTCCAGAGACCGCTATCTCACCGCCACGGTTTTATTACATCGTGAGCTGCAAGTATACTTCAGCCCTAGGAGTCGCGACCAAGGGCTGTGTACCACATTCATTTACTTGTGACCTGAGTGGTTGGTGTCGGGCTTTGTTCCCTGGTCTTAGAATTGTACTGCTTTACATACTTTTTGGCATTTGTATATTGTTTTATATTTTTATATATTTTTATTCACTGCGAAGTGTGCGGAATACATTTTTGATATTACGTCTATACACTTGTTTGTAGTGTTTAGCTCCCTCATTAGGTGGGTCTGTACCCATCTATTTCTTTCTTATTTGGTTTTATAGGCTATTTGGGGTGTGCTTATTGAGTGGCAGCTTTTCACCTATAGTGTGATAAAAGCCTATAGTACCTTTTATCTGGATCTATTTTTACTTGTATTGTATCCAATACTAGGATGATATCAATGTCAGCTGCAAGCACAATGCAGGGTGCACAATTGAGCTGTGAAGTTGAGCACATTAAGTACAAAGCCCCCACAACACCCATACATTTTTTAAAAGTTTGAGTTAAATGGAAAGTAGGCGAAACTGAGCAAAGGTGATTTTATACATAATTTTTTTAGCAAGGGAAATGACGACGATACCATCAACATTATGAAATTCAGTGATACTTTCCAAGACAATAATTATGATATGTCACATGTAGAGACACAGCCTTATTTCATAATTAATGTTCCATTGTTTAAAATGAATTCTCAAGTTATCTTGGCTAGTGAAACAGGAGAAGGTAACATGACAGGTATAAAGCTTTACATATGCAAGTCTTGGCATGAGTGACTCCATTCCTGCTTATGTAAAGACATTTGTTAGTAAAGAGGTCAATGTAAATTGTAAAGTGATATATTGTGATTAGTGATGTCCCGATCGGTTCGCCGCGGATGGCGAACATAAACATAAACTTTGACCCTGTACCTCACAGTCAGCAGACACATTCCAGCCAATCAGCAGCAGACCCTCCCTCCCAGACCCTCCCACTTCCTGGACAGCTCACTAAGAATGCAGTTTCACAATGGATGTAAAATGGAAGCTATCCAGGAGGTGGGAGGGTCTGGGAGGGAGGGTCTGCTGCTGATTGGCTGGAATGTGTCTGCTGACTGTGAGGTACAGGGTCAAAGTTTATGTTTATGTTCGGCGTTCGTGGCGAACCGTTCGGCGAACCGTTCGGAACATCACTAATTTTGATATACCTATACCTATAAGCAGTTTTTTACTTTGATAGTTAAAGAGCAAGAGTTTTTTGCTTATAACAATATATAATTTACTTACATTATTAAACATTATTGTATAATAGGTGTTTATTGACCCAGATGTTTCACAGATCATATATTATTTAGCTCATATTTAACTGCACCAATTGAAACAACTGTCTCATTCAAGACTTGAATTTGAATTTGAAGTGGTCATGATGGTAGGAGTCAGTATGTGCAGTGCAGAAGTGCCTATCTAATTAGGTGATTTGGGTGGTCATCTAAGGGCGGTCACTGACTAGGGCCTCGCGGTTACCTATATCACCAAACTAGGAGAGGGCCAGGTGGCTTGGTGGCTTTATTAGCCGGCCTCTCTACACAGTCTGCCTGATAGTAAGCCAGGTGCAGAGCTACAGGTTGAAGTGTCTCGCGATCTCCAACCAACAAGTCACATCATCTGTAGCTCTGCACCCAGCAGAGCCCACTGGACCACGAGGGAATTTACTAGATAAAAAAAGGTATTTATGACCCCTCCACACTCTGGCACCCACTCCCCCCCACACACACTCTGTCACCCCACACACACACGGTCACTTCCCCCCACATATGCTGTCACCGTCTCCACACATACTGTCACCCTCTCTACACTCTGTCAACCCCCCACACAGTCATCCAGCACACTGTCACTCCCACACACTGTCACCTCCTCACATACACTGTCACCCCCACACACTTTGTCAACCCCTCAATACTCTTTCATTTCACCCTGTCACCTCTTTCACACACACTGTCACCACCTCCACACTGTCACTCCCTCCACACCACTGTTACCCCCACACACTTTGTCACCCATCCACACTGTCACCTCCCCACACTGTCACCCGTCTCCACACACACTGCTACCCCCTTCACACTCTGTCACCCCTACACACACACTGTCACCTCCTCCACACTCTTTCAACCACCAACACACATTGTCACCTCCTCTACAAACACGGCCATATCCCTCCACACTCTGTCACTCTTACACACACTTTCACTCTAACACACACACTGTCACCCACTTCACACTTTGTCACCCCTCCACACTCTGTCAATCCCCCCATGCACTGTCACCCCTACACACTCTGTCACTCCCACAAACTCTGCCACTCCCCACACACACTGTCAGCCCTCCTCTAGACACAGTCATCACACCCACACACTGTTACCAACTTCTACCTGCTACACTCACATTACCCCTCCTGATCCTGCCACACTCACCCCCCTCCAACCATGCTACACTCACCTCTCCTCGCTCTGCCTTACTGACCCTATCACATTATACCCCCTAATCCTGTCACACTCATCTTTTCTCACACTGTAAAATTCACCTCCCTGTCACACTCACCCTGTCAAATAACCCCCAATTGTGATCATGTTCAACTCCCAATGTCCTGTCACACTCCAACCGTGCCTCACTCACCTACAACCCTGCCACACTCACCCTGTCTCAATGCTTTCCTCTGGGAATTTCACTAACACTGGATGTTGTTTTTGGATGACCAGCATTTATGTTTTGCCATTTGGAATGTGTAGGCTTATTGATGATAGGTTTGTGTTACTGTAGTCTTAGTGTTTGTGCGGAAAAGATTTAATCACTATGTGCATAAAGGATGTTGTATTTATATGGGAGGTACTGTGTGTGTAGAGGAGGTAGTGTGTTTTTGCTGGGGATACAGTGTGTATGTAATGAATATACTGTGTGTGCTGATGAAGTAGTGTGTGTTGGGGATGTATAATGAGATAATGGATGTAGTGTGCGTGAATGGAATGTATTGTGTGTATGTGCTGGTGATGCAGTGTTGGTGTCAGTGCTTTTGGATGCAGCGTGTGTGCTAGGGATGTAGTTTTCATGTGTGTTTTTGCTGGAGAAGCAGTGCCTGCATTTGAGGCTTGAGTGTAGTGTATATGTGTGTTTGGAGGATTCATTGTGTTCAGGGGCTACAGTGCGTGTCTGTGTGTGCTGGGGATGCAGTGTATGTCTATGTGTGTGCTGGGGATGCAGTGCGCGTCTGTCTGTTTGTGCCTATGTGTATGCTGGGGATGCAGTGTGTGTGTGTGTCTGTATGTGTGCTGAGGATTCATTGTGTGTTTATTGTGTGTGTCTGTGTGTGTGTGTGCTGGGGATGCAGTGTGTGTGTGTGTGCACACTGTATTGCAGCACACTGTATGTGCACTGCAGCCAATAAATACACTTACCTTTGTTGTAATCGCGGTGTTGTGGCCTCTGGACTGACTCCTAGTAGCTCCGCCATTCACCTCAGTACCACTGCTGCCAGCTCAGGTCTGTTCCTGGCTGCCCCCTACTCCATGGGGTCTGTGTAATAAAACTTGTGCTGCGCTGTAGGTGGCCACGGCACATAGAGCCAGACACTGAGAGTAGATTGTGCACTCAGACCTGGGAGACAGTCGAACTCCACTCTGCCCAGCCGCCAATTTCTGTGTTGAAAAGTAACCACTGAAGTTCAGGCACGCACAGTGAGTGTTATCGGAGCACCGGAACTTCAGCAGTAAACAAGTCCCAGATCAACCACTCTCCTAATTACTTACCTCCCATTACCCTGGAATACTCATCCCTCCAAACATGTCACACCACGCTCCCTCATTCTGTTACATTCACCCCAAACCCTGTCTCTTTCACCCCTCAGAATGTCACACTCACCCTGATACAGTTAACACTTTTTCTCCCCGTGTCACAGTCACTCACTGAAGACAATCATCATACACACACAGTCATAAAACATAACTTAAACACAGTGCACAAAGGCCATAGACATCCCCCTATATACACAAATTACAGCAAGCAGCTACCCCACACACATATAGTTCCAGACACATACACCTGCTCACAGAAACATGCATTCACATACAAGGATACTCACTGTCAGACAAGGGTAGACAATGCAAGGCACACTCTGAAATACACAGTCAGATAAATAAACATGGTGAATGTATGTCTGTTTTAGTCAATATTTGTCTCTCTGTGCATCAGTGCATTTGTGTGTGTGTGTGTGTGTTTGTGTATGTATCAGTGTGTATATATGTTTGTGTATTAGTGTGCATATGTGTGCATGTATTAGTGTGTGTGTGTCTATGTTTGCAATGTGAGAGTAGTATTGTATGGGCAATGCAAAAGTAAAGTGGCAAGCAACATGAATATTATGTACATACAGACATTTTAACACATATATGATAATATATATGTAAAGGATTATAGAATATATGGGGAAACTGTCTATGATACTGTTTTCTTATCTGTAACTTTATTATCTGGTAAAGGATTTTTTTAAAAGTCTAACCAAAATGATAATTTTCTTTTTTCAAATTACCCGTTCACCAGGGGCGGACTGACCGGTCGGGCACTTCGGACAAGGTCCGAGGGCCCGGCCGGGAGGGGGGCCCGCCGCCAGGGCCGCCTTCAGGGGGCCCGGCGGCAGGGCTGGATTGGGGGGGGACTGCAGGTGCCACCGGGTGGCCGGTCCGGTGGCACACTGTGAGGGGGGGGCGGCCGTTTCATGTTAGAGCCGCCGGACCGGGTGGCAGCCTTCCTCTCACTAACACTGAAGAGGAAGGAGGAGGAGGAGCATGTGTGTCATGCTCCCTGCGGTTCCCACAATTCCCAGCACAGGATGTGGGAACCGCAAAGGAGCATGACAGACACATGCTCCTCCTCCTCCTTCTTCTTCAGTGTTAGTGAGAGGAATGCCGCCGGACCGGCGAGGCTGCCACCCGGTCCGGCGGCTCTAAAATGAAACGGCCGGCCCCCTCTGACTAGTAAGAGGGGGGAGAGATGGGGAGAAAGAGAGGGGAGAGATGGGGAGGGGGGAGAAAGAGAGGAGAGATGGGGAGGGGGAAAGAGAGGAGAGATGGGGAGAGATGGGAGGGGAGAGATGGGAAGGGGGAGAAAGAGAGGGGAGAGATGGGGGAGAAAGAGAGGAGAGATGGGGAGGGGGGGAGAAAGAGAGGAGAGATGGGGAGGGGGGAGAAAGAGAGGGAGATGGGGAGGGGGGGAGAGAGAGGGAAGGGGAGAAAGAGAGGGAGGGGGGAGAAAGAGGAGAGATGGGGAGGGGGGAGAGAGGGGGACATAGAGATGGAAAGGGGAGAAAGAGGGGAACAGAGAGATGGGGAGGGAGAAAGGGGGGGCAATAAAAAGAGATGGGGAGAAAGAGAGGGAAGAATGAGACACAGGGAGACAGAGACAGAGAGGAAGAATGAGACACGGGGAGAAAGAGGGGGAATAGAGAGATGGGGAGGGGAGAAAGAGACAGAGAGGGAAGAATGAGACACAGGGGGAATAGAGAGATGGGGAGGGGGGAGACAGAGAGGGAAGAATGAGACACAGGGAGAAAGAGGGGGAATAGAGAGATGGGGAGGGGGAGAAAGAGACAGAGAGGGAAGAATGAGACACGGGGAATAGAGAGATGGGGAGACAGAGAGGAAAGAATGAGACACGGGGAGAAAGAGGGGGAATAGAGAGATGGGGAGGGGGGAGAAAGAGAGGGAAGAATGCCCCCCCTCCCCTGTCCGCAGGCACCGTGCGGGCAGGGGAGGAAGAGAGGACCTGGGAGCTCACCCTGCAGCTCCTCTGGGTCCTTCTTGCGCGAGCACAGAGCGTTGCCATGGCAACGTTACTGCTCTTGCGAGAGTCAACTCTAGCCCTGGAGCTACGGGCTAGAGTTCACTCTCAACACTGTAACCCCCATGGATTCCTGGTGGTCGCAGTGGTGAGAGTGAACTCTAGCCCCATAAACACACTGCCCCCACACACACACCATACACATTCACACACTGCCCCCATACACACCATACACATTTACACACATTGCCTTACACACACACACACATACACTGCACACCCATATACACACAGACCCCCATACACAGCCCCCATACTAAAATTGCCACACACATACACTGCCCACACACTCTACACATTCACACACTACACCCCCACACACACACTGAACCTTTCACACACATTGCACCACTGCTCCTATTCCCTACTACAGCCTCATATCCCAGCAGACCCCAGGTAAGTTGTCAAACTGTTCTTAAGCGGTTTGACTACTTACTCTGGAGCAGTAGTGGTTATTGTGCATGGATTATTTCTTTAAATAATCTACAAGTGCCCCAGTAGCCAGCCAGCCAACCCACAGGCTGGCCAGTAGCCAGCCCACAGGCCTACAGCAAGCCACAGGCTTACAGCCAGCAAGCCATAGCCTGCCAGCCGCAGTCAGCAAGCCCACAGCCTGCCGGCAGTAGCCAGCAAGCCCACAACCTGCCAGCCGCAGCCAGCAAGCCCACAGACTGCCAGCCAGCAACAGTAATTAAGGTAAGAGGAGCCAACTTGGCTTAGGTATCAGCGAGCTATGTTGTGTTGCTATATTGTGAATAGGAACCAGAGTGTTGGAGAGACCACCCTCCAGACCCCATTAGACTCTAGCCTCTGCTAGAAATCCCCTCCATGGCCCATTAGCCCTCAATTGTAGTTTCTACTGGGGCCTGGAGGCGACTGTTTCCAGCAGGGGATATCTAATGGACGCTGAGATGGCCTCTGTTAGAAAGACCCCCTTCCAAGCCTTTTAGACTCCATTGTAGTCTCTAATGGGGCTTGGAGGGGATTCTTTCTAACACACCCTCTAAAGGACACTGAGATAGCCTCCGCTAGAAAGACCCCCCTCCATGGCCCATTAGCCCTCAATTGTAGTCTCTACTGGGGCCTCGAAGGGCTTATTGCCCTTTTGTTCCTTGTGTCTAAAGATTGTGTACGGTGTGGCTGGAGGCGGGACAAGGGTGGCGCTTGCTGCAGAGTATGGGTGGGGCCTGTAAGGGGGCCCTTGATTTATTTTGCCCGGGGGCCCTGAGGGTTCTCAGTCCGCCTCTGCCGTTCACACTGGCATTTATATATACAGGAATGCATACCATACCCTACAATCATGTATGAACAATTAGCATAATTGCAAATCAAATTTGTTTATTGCAAATTATGCCATAACTACAGTCAGAGAGCCGAGAGAGATGCGACAATGCAAGTCTCTGAATGATGAATACAGAGACTAGCTCTCTGTATCCAACGCTGCAAGCACACCCTTCAATATATCTACAGCTTATATATCTACACAAGGTAACATCTATTTTTTTTACTAATGGTGTTAGTGGGGGCCTCATGTTTGAGTTTCTCCTAAGGCAACGCAAAGTCTAGAGCCACCACTGGTATAGTGTTTCAATTTGAAACACTGCACATACCAAGATATTCTTAATTGTGTGCTGGGGGTAGCAATCCTAGCAGACATGACATTAGCAACCCAGAGCTGTGTTCCGGGCTGCCTAATGTCAATTCTGTTCATAAAAGACGTCTGTTTGACAAAATATGTGAAAATCTTTCCCTCCCACCTGCCTTCCTTCATTGTTTTTTTTTTTTTTTTTTAAATAAACCCTCCCCTCACCAGCCCGATGCACACTCTTGAGTTCTGAGCCAGTGAATTGGTCCAATCAGTGCGGCCCCAGTGACATCAGGAGGAGGTGCAGTAATGCAATGCTAGAGCATCATCCGGTGCTGGATTTCAGGTAAGTAAAACTTTTTATTACAGGTCATATTACATCTATTAGGTCCCCCCTCTCAAAAGGATTATAGTAACCCTTTAAATTAAGTCTTTTCTAAAGGTCTAGGTGACACCTAGACATCTCTGTTCCAAGAACATCTTAAATAAGCAAAAGTTGCTATACCTTTAAAATCTAAACAACTGACCTAGATAAACTCATTAACACAGTGCCATGTGATGATTTACCATTACTATATATACCTCTATGCTACTTTTCAAAAAATGATGTACAGTATGTATGTCACTGAATATAACTATGTTATATTTCACAACATATTTACATTTATTCCTCTCCCAATTTATCTTTCTGAAACTTAAATAAAAAAATAAAAAAAATACAAATTAAAACATGTACGTACGTATGTATAGCACAAACCCAAAAAAGTTATGGTTGGGAAAAATAAAAACCAAACCTTCCTCCTGAAGTCAGTATATAGTCAATACAATGTTTAACAAAGATCTGCACACCAGTCAAGCCACAAGATTTGCTTTTCCCACAGAAATCACAAATTTGCAGTGATGTTACTACTGCAAAGGATTCTGGGTGGGCATATGCAAATTAGTTCAATCAAGAATCACATTTTTGACTCATTCCATTTCAAGCATGGATTTCTTGGAGTTTGTGTTTGTTGTATGTGACAAACTCCCCTTTTTAAGGGAGTTTGCCATTAGGTTTTGGAGGGACCTGCTTGACCCCTTCTTGAAGCCTTGGCTCATGTTTGGGGGATGGGATAACTACACTCTTGGGGATTGCTATAATCACAATACTCCCCTGAGTAATAAGCTCTTGTAAGAGCTTGTTCCTGCTACGCTCTTTGGATTAGGAGAGGTCTACCCACTGGAATCTGGATCCTGTTCTTAGGTCCAGGGTGGGTGGAGGATGGCGAGACCCCGGCGCAGCTGCATCGCTGGGGTCTGCAGTGCTTATGGTGTCTGGTGGAGTGCTTGGAGTCCTCGGCAAGGACTAGGAACATCGATTGGTGGAGGTACTCGGTCGGAGTACCAGCGGTCCGTCACACTGTATACAACAGCTTTGAAACCCAACTCAGGAATAAATGCTAAGCCAGTGAATCACTCATGGACAACTGTTTCGTTGTTAATGCAACTCATCGGCATGAGGTTGGTTATTGACTTGCTATTGAGGCAACGATGCATTCCGATATGGATGTATTACGTCGGAAGGACATTACGCATATGTGAATCCCAGGGATGCAGATGTTCCAGGAAGCAAACGGTGGCGGAAATAACAAACCATTTAAAATGAGCAAGCAGTTACGGACATCTATACAGAAACTGAAGAAGCCTCCAGGAGAGACGAAACATGTTTTGCTACAAATGGGACTGTAAGGACTTTTTTCTATTTTACCACTTGCTTTTATTTTATCTACCTTTTACAAATAAAGTATAGTTGTAACTGTGATCGGGTGTTGCTGGAGCTGGAGGGGAAGCCACTATCACAAGATACAGAAGAGGGAATAGGATCCCTAAAAATATCCTATCAAGTTTACACATTGAGCCTAGGTATTACTGGCTCCTACATTGTGAGTGAATATCTATATACTGATATACTCTGATATTCAATACAGACAATATTGCACTAGTATTAAGTTTCTCTCCATTTCTGTTGTAGACCATCTTTCTTTGTGTATCATATCTATGCATTGCTTACATGTTTGATGTGAGATACTCCACCTATTGTACGTATACTTTATTTTTCAGTTTGTTGGTGTGGGTTAAGGGTATCCCACACAGGCGTTTGAGTTCCACACATTCCCTATAACACACAGTGATTTTGTGTATTCTGATATAGATTTGCCTAATAATCCAAAATAGTGTGATATATATATATATATATATATATTTGTAGTTGGGATAAAAGCCGTAATAATGCAATGTCGGTTGTGATGCAATGTTGGTTGTGGTGTGCCGAAACCGACATTAGGGCAGGCCTGTAAATAAAGAGGGTTCACCAAGGTAGTGATATGAGAAAGAGGGGAGTGGTGGATGGGATGAAGCGAGTGGCTATAGTCCAGCCTGGTAACCCCTCTCACAATTCCAGGCCCCAGCCTTTATATTTGTGGTTGGGGAGAGAAGCCATAATAATGAAAAAACGGTTGTGATGCAAAGTCGGTTGTAACATGCCAAAACTGTCATTCAGGTGGGCCTGTAAATAAAGAGAGCAAAAGGATACCAAAATGCACACTGTTACATATAAAACTCACAAGCCAACTCTTGAACGCTTCCTTAACTTTTCTTGTGTTGTGTTATGTATTTATTTCCCCAACCTAGTCTTTAATTTACTGTATATTTACTGGAATATCCATGTTGAAAGTAGTTGATGTTTCACTGATACTGAAATACTTTGTTGTAAATGTGGAAGGGTTGAGGCAGAGTCTCATGAAGTGCTTAGCTAAGTAGTATATTGTGCATAAGCAGAAGGTGTATTCCCTGGACAAGCTGTGCAGCAGTAGGGGTTTAGTGTTATATTGGGCCCCATATTTGATGGGATAAAAGTGGGATTCTACCTAAGGGCCCGTTTGATTTGTATTTTAAAGGACCACTATAGTGCCAGGAAAACATACTCGTTTTCCTGGCACTATAGTGCCCTGAGGGTGCCCCCACCCTCAGGGTCCCCCTCCCGCCCTGCTCTGGAAAGAGGAAAGGGTTAAAAACTTACCTTTTTCCAGCGCTGGGCGGAGAGCTCTCCTCCTCCGATCCTCCTCTTCTCCTCCTCCTGGGCTGAATGCACACGCGCGGCAAGAGCTGCGCGCGCATTCAGCCCGTCGCATAGGAAAGCATTTACAATGCTTTCCTATGGACGCTTGCGTGCTTTCACTGTGAAAATCACAGTGAGAAGCACGCAAGCGCCTCTAGTGGCTGTCAATGAGACAGCCACTAGAGGATTAGGGGGAAGGCTTAACCATTCATAAACATAGCAGTTTCTCTGAAACTGCTATGTTTATGAAAAAATGGGTTAACCCTAGCTGGACCTGGCACCCAGACCACTTCATTAAGCTGAAGTGGTCTGGGTGCCTAGAGTGGTCCTTTAATGTGTTTTAATATAAGTTCTTAATAAACTCCAATTTTAATAAGTTCATAGATGGATGACTGAATGAATCTGATAACATTGTATGTAAATTCTATGTTCTATGAAAAATTTAATGGCGTGAAAAACCATAAAAGCCATGCATATGGCTGCCTTAATTGCAGAATTAGTGTGAGTTTCAAATGTTTAAAATCTGAAAGCCCACTGTATTTTTGTCAATAGGATGCTGTACAAGCATTAAGTATGATCTAGTTGTTATATGCCCTTGAGAATGTTTTCTAGGGTAAGTAGGCACAATGTTGGTGATTTGGAAATTATTAAGTAAATTATGTTGAATGCCTGTCAGGTAAAGTTTATAGTATTATGTGATAGTTTAGCTTAAGATGGCAAAAGGAAACAAACACCACACTAGTCTTGATGGAATACGATTCTGTAATCTAAAATTCAGATACGAATCTCTTGAAAATAGTCAGAGCTCTGTTGTGTGTTCTTTGTGTGCTTGCTGATTGGGTAGCTTGTGACTTGCTATGACGAGTAATGGGCTAGTCCAGTATGTGTGAACTGAAGGCTGGGGGTTTGATGTGTTTCCTGACAGTCTGGTGGAGTATGAAGAAGTCCTTAAAATCAGCTGCTGGGTTTTCCGAGAAAATGTAGTGTTTACATTACAGTC